GAGCTGTGCTGTATTCACATAATTTTGTATTCACATATTATTCTATTATAATAATTGGATACAGAGAAATTGTTTCTCTAGCTCGTGTTCAACATTATCAGTTGCTCAACGTACGGCCGAATGAACGACGGAAAAATTGCCTAGTTAGAATTCAATTCACAAACGCATGGTTTTATCCCAACAAATAACTTTACTTTAGAATAGAAACTAAAAATACAAAATTAACTTGCGCTAAGCAATAATGTATTTGTAATCATTACCTACCATAGTGTAATGACAATACTCTATTGCATCATATTAGTTTCTAGTTTACGTAAGTTAAATTCAGATAATGTTTCACAGATAGATTACGTTTTTAATTTACTTGTTTTATTTCGTATTCATATACATACAAAGTTATTTAAGTTTTCCAAACAGTTAATGATTCAATAAAAACGTTTCAATATCTTTTAAGTTGCCACCTCATTAGTCTAAAGATTAGTTGACGTGATCACGTGATTGACAATCTGCTGCTGATTTTGATAGAGCAATTAACTATTCTTCTTCAGCGTGATCAAACTCTGAGGCAATCCAGCATCAGCATCCTGTGACTACTTCATGATATGGCAGTTCTGATGTAATTGATTGTTCAACGGCTTTCTACGTTTGCTGCATTTCACTGAACACCAACCGCAGAGGTTATTGAAGTAGACTGTACTCGAACGCACTTAAACCGTGCATAAGCTGCCAATAATCCTAATAAAAAAGTCATCAAGATCTGTTGATCATCTATGAGATTACCTGATTCTAGCACATTTCGTCCATGACCTCTAATGGACCCAGCTTTATAACACAAGGTCTGATGATTTTAAATTGCCCGCCTCAACCTGAAGTACCCCACAGTGCTTGCACCTCAGAGATACTACGGCAATTCTTCCAACTCTACTCCACTTACCACTTAAGACTCAAAATCACCCCTTAGTATTCAAATACCCCCGCCACAGCAAACCTGCCGTCTAAGCGAATTTCCATTTGTCCGAATTGATTTTCAATTGATCTATTTAAATAACATTGGGTTAAACGAGTACCTAGGTTTGCTGCTACAAGGAAACTAATAAAGTAGTGTGTTTTTAGTAAAATATTGATAGCTTACTATAAAATAAATAAATTTGCCAAGTTTGATCAAAATATATCCATAAAGAAGCAAACTACAACATTTTACAATATTCTCCATAAGAATAACATGGGAATTTTAAATTTACCATTTTTTTAGTTTTCTCCGTAACCAATAACCGTACAAAAACACTTTGAATAACCGTACACTTTGATATACTGAATTGTTTGTTTTTTTAAGCTCTTTAAGAAGGTTTAGAGAAAAATTGGGAAATTTCGTGTTTTGAGGGTAAGAAGTGAGAAAAACCAATTTTTACCCCATAAAACCCCCCATAAAACCCTGTTCCCATGGTCCGATCATGCTGGATCGCGAACTCATTCAAGTTTATCCCGCCTTACACCTTCAAACCAAATTTCATCAAAATCGGATAAAAACTACTCAAGTTATCGTGTTCACGGACACACATATATATATATATATATAAATCTATATATATATATACCTATATATATATATACATATATACAAATTTGAATGAATGGTGTTTTTGGCCTCTGGGGACATTAAAATGAAAAAGTAAATCGGTCCCGGGCCTAAGTCTTACCATGAGACCTACGGTAATAGCTACTTCCCTATAGGGAAATTCGCTAAAACCTGCCAAATCAACCCAAAACATAAGCATCCACTAAATCAACCACCATAACCACTCTCGCTAAGCCCACCTACAACCCCCATAACCAAACAACCTCACCCGCAACAGATGTGCCAGGTCGCTTATTTTGTAGTACAGTACACTCTGTCTGTCAAATCTTTGACCCAAGGCTGAATAGGAAAAGTCTTAGAACAGTGGGCTTGTCATTCACTGAAACATCGAGATGAAGTAAACGTAAAGGTTTAATTTAGAATTTTACACGTAAGTAAGCCCATCCCACACCTACTGCTCTGTCCTTGATGTCTGTTGCAACCTAGGAGTGATGATGTTTGAAATACGTTCAGCAAATTTGAGACACGATATTTGCTAATCCTACGAAACCTCCAACCTCCTCTTCCTTTATCCTACACTGTCAGATGAAACGAGGCATTGCCAGATTGCCCAGATTATAAAGTCCTCTCCTGAGCCATGTTTCTGATGACTGTTTATGTTTCTGATGACTCTTTATGTTTCTGATGACTCAGTGCAGTCTGCTACATCATGGCCCGTTAGCAGACACTGTCCATTGTCCTTGTGTCGAGTCATCGAAGGTGAACGCTCGCCAGGTTGACCTTGAGACAGTCTGCATCCGAAACAGAATCTCATTCTGCATGCACCGTTCTTGCACTACACACTAGTTTCAGCTAACCATTTGGGACTCCAGACTGGTCCATGGAATCTCTGCAATTATTGCACGATTGTTGCAAATAGAAACGAAATTATGGCTGTTATGACTGTTGCAATGGTTTTAAAATGCAAAATAAAACACTTTCCTAAAAAGAGTAAAATAGGAAGTGGCGAAGGAAGTAGTAAAGGCTGGCATCGCAGAGAGGGGAAACCGTTTGTGGCAGTTAGATTAATGTATCTGTAATACTTAAATGCTATGAGAAGGGAAGGAAACAGTTCCATGACGTAGGAAATGGCGAAGGAGGCTATGAAGGAAATGATAGTAAGGCTAGCAGTGCAGAGTGTGGGAACTGTCTCTGGCAATAACATTAATGTATCTGCAATCCTAAAATGCTATGGGAAGGAAGGGAGACAGGTCCACGGCGTAGGGAGTAGTGAAGGAAGTAGTAAAGGCGAGCAGTGTGGCGTTTGGGAATGGATTAATGTATCTGCAAAACTAAGACTGCTTTCAGAGTAAACTAATGATTTTCCCCGAGCAAAGCTCGGTCCCCAGTTACTAAATAATAATCATGGTAGGCTTAATAGAAATGGAATTCTTCCAACAAATTTTCTATCTTTTAAATGGTGTCAAATTCAAAGAATAAAATGGGCTATCTAACAAACTGAATCAATAACAAGAGCTAAGCTATTAAGTAAGGTGGTGGTTGATGTTCGCAGGGGGTAATCAGGAACAATTTATTTGTCGTTCGTTCTCCAATTTCTGGCAGCATGAAGAAGACAAACTCTTAAGGAAGTTTAGGATAAACTACGAAGATCTCAACTGTTATTTAAGGCATTAAAGTGTATTTATAGTAGTAAAAAAATAGCTTTGATTATTTGATGAAACATGTATGGCTATTTTTTCGGTTTAAATAAGTCGGGTACGTTGCGGGACTTGCCCGGTATAATTAAACCCCATAGTTGTTTTACATGTTTGACTAAATTGGATTCATACTGGTTAAAGCTAAGGTTACAGGTGAAACTTTATGTTTTCCGTTTAAAATATATGTGGTTATAATGTTTACCTGATGATCAAAAGATCGCCAGTTTGGTCCTTAGAAAAGTCCACACAGCAGCTCTAATCTTTGGTCATTTAACGGTCTTGACTAAAAACAGCTGATCTTCAACCGTACTCCGTAGCACAGCAACAATTGTCATAATACATTCTACACATCCACCTTATAATCATAGCTTATATAAATTACGCACCTTGGTGTGTGTCACTCTCTCAAAGTAATGATGATAAAACAACGTAAATGACAAAGTTAGTTGAGTACGCCAAATGAATGATTTCATTGTACAATGGACTTCACCAAAGCTAAAAGGTACAACAACATCATGTGCTGACTTATCTAGAACCAACCGTGCTTATTTCCACGAAGCCTTACAACTGAATTCAAACAGTTGATTTTGCTTGACCATGCACGAAACCTTCCGCCTCATAGTCACACCTCGCCTCGTGAGGCTGAGGCAGGGCCGTGACTAGATGTTAGCACCCGAGGCTACCTAAACTGGTAACTGGTACCATCTGGTAACTTCCACAATCAGTTGATTGTTTGGTGGAATGTGACTGCAGACGACGTAGTTGCGTTAAAGAAGGTTCTTTATCTGAAAATCCAAGTCAACATAGAGCTGCATATTTGCATAGGAATTGCGACTTGTTTGTTTTGCTACTACAGGTTCTATAGAGGCTTTGGAATGTTAGCTACTGCATTAGCTTATACAATAGAAGAATAGAACATTTAAACAATTTTGAAATTTATTATTTTTAACCACTTATTTTTTCAATTAATAGGCTGGGCAACCAAAAATGTCTCGTTTTGGCGTAAAGAATTGTACGGGGGTATCGATTCAAGATGGGATGGACTTAGTAAATGAAACTTCAAATAACAACAATTAATTGAAAATGTATGGATTCAATAGATCAATGACAGAAGCACCTTAAGTCAACCATTTCTAATTACAGACAAAGAAGTATTATAGAAGCTAAGTCATTCATGGGTAAAAGATACTCCAGGGGTATTCAACTTAATATTATACACTTTAGAGTAAAATATCAATGTGTCTAAAAAAACTGTGTAATATAAAAACAAAAATAATAAAAATGTTTTAGAAATAAAATTTAACTCTAATATTCTTTGCTGTCCTTACGGCAGGTTCAAATTATATATATGTAGCAAGGCAGGAAACCGGTTGGTGTATATTTGCGTAAAAGTCATGTCAATAAAACTTTAAAATTTTTATAAAAATTTATCAATGTATATCACAAGGACCGTGTATCCTAATCGAACCTCGTAGTTTTTTTAATATTATCTGTGTTGATTTGCCATTAATTTGGTGAAAAAATAGCCATGCGTAAATTATTGTCCGTGAATAAAAGACAAAAACATAGCCTAAACCGTTCTCAAATAAAATCTATATTTTTAATACGCTACATGAAACTTTGTGAACAATAAGGCTTTTTTGTTTTAAGATTTACCTCCACATATTATATCCCAAAATGTTCGTTTGTGAAAACTGGCTTTAGATTTTCGAGATATTATAGTCTACCTTTTTAAGGGTGTGGAGTGTCCTCAAAGTTCCTTCCATAAGGATAACATTGTGATCTGAAACAGGTGTCAATACATTTGACTTCCATTAAAAAATTAATCCCAGCTGTTTTGTTTGGTTTTGACATGTAAAAGTTTGCATGTTTTTAAAAATACTTAGAAAGCCGACAAAGGAATTTTGCCTATAATATAGGACACGGCGGGTCTTAAAGTCTAAGAGTCTCTCTAAAGTCTTACATTTTATTTTCGTTTAAACATGCCAAGGATAAAGACATATTGCCAGTCGGACATGGCGAGACACGGCAAGCAATGCAAAAAGGAGTACAGACGAGGAGTTGGAACAGTTAGTGGCAACGTGCACTACTTACAAAATTGCACTGACAAATACAAGAATTAAGCAGCATTCACTTGGCGAGATGGCATTAAAACGTCAGAAATGTGGTGCACTACATTTTAAATAAGAACAAATGGGACGAGGCGAAGGATTTTCATCCTGCTGCCAGAAAGGAAAAGTGAATCTACCACCATACCGAGAAAGCCATTATATCCATTATGTTTGTTTGTATAACTTTTGTTTGTATAGTTGCATATTTGATTTTATATCTATTTGTATTGTCTCATTATATTAGTAGCATGTAACTTGATGATTGGAACTTATTATTGTCTCATGAATTTGTTGAGTCTGCATTTAATGTATTTATTAAGAGCATTTTCATAATCTTTCGGCATCATTGTACTTGCATGTTAACGGATTATTAAGCTGCAAAATCTTTATTGTAAATAGATTATAGTTGTAATTTTGTTATTAATTGATTGTATATTATTGTTTGTTATTTATTTAAAATCTAGCTGTGATTGTTATCATTACTTACATTGTAAAAAATGGTGGAACCGTTGATAATGATAATAAATAAATAAATACATCCAGAGCATACTTAATGGAGCAAATCACGGGAGCAGAAACTACAAAAGAGAAAATCAGATCGTAAGATTCACAAACAGAAACTGACAAACAGTTTGTTGACTGTGAAAGTTCCATCCATACTTTTGTAAACTGTGCATTTATCTTTAATTAGGCTATTTAGAACATGTTTTTAAATGTGCTTCATTTTTCTGTCGATGATTAGTATTAATTCTAAATACATTTCATTCAAAATATCCTAATTTATCATTCGTGCGAATTCGCATTGGTTCACCTAGTCCTTGTTAAAATATTTCATACAACAAACACAAGTTTTTTTATGGTTAGCAACATCAGTCGTGTTAAATTCACCACACCTTAGATCAAAGTTTTATATGCTTACTTGAAAATAACGTGAATACCAATATTTAAATACTGTACAACTTTCCGTAGGATCACCTTAGTCTGACGTATTTCACCCCGGCATCAGCATACCCATGCATTTAAACTGATCGGTGGAGTTAGATCTTACATAGTGAAAGAGAAAGCTACGCTGATAGATTTACAACAGTTACATTGTATGTATTATTGTTAAGTTCTTACAATAATTTATTAAGCACTGACAATAATGTTCAACACAGCTATAAAGTCAGCTGTTGGAGAACGCGTATTGCAACCATCGATCTCTATTATGACTTGCAACCTAAACAATGTTATAGACAAGATATTACTCTGGATAGGTTTTAGATTGGAAAATAGTCTAATGTAGGATTAAGCCTTCATTTTGTGTAGAATCGCGAAATGTCCAGCTACAAAACAACGTAACAGGTTACGAGAAGTGTACATTTTTTTAACAAACATGTGACGTAAGAAGGTCCTACTGTCAAATCTCTGTTCTCCTTGACAGTTTTTGTATCAAGGCCAACTTTGTGATGGCAATGAAATCCAAACGTTTATTTGCACGCGAGAAATAGTAGTGAATTTTGTACTTTCTAAGTCCAAACGTTAAAACCAACTGAGCTACTAAAATTTTCTATGCATTTTTAACGTTCAACAGAACATTCGAAGTGACTTTTCTTACAACGACTTGTGGGTAACATGAACTACGAACATAATAACAGTCCTCAAAACGTGTGCGAATCGCATTGATGTCATAAATCCAAACATATAGATCCTGGCTCCTGGGAGACCTAATTGTGAAACCATGCTTCATGCACTAGGACTTTGCAAAAAGAGACTGTTTGTAGTGGAAATGCAGGACTTGATTTGACATGAAACTAAGCACATTATTGACGGGCCCGCCTCGCTAGATCAGCTGATTTATTTGTGTTCTACGATGACTGAAGACAGACACAGACAAGTTCCAGACTGGAGGCTCCATTCGTGTGTCATACAGCATGCTCCACGAGGAAACGTTCTCCAGTTTATTTATAGTCCTCTGGAACTTGGCGCAACACCCGTCTTTGATGTCTTTGTATCGTCTCGTACTCTTCAGTGTATCTTGTCTTAGCCTTTTTTTCTATTCGTGCCCCCTTTTTATGTGACGGGACAAAACGTTAGTCGATATCTGAGTGGTAAGGTGTCCGCCTAAAAAACAGAAGTTACAGGCGTTTCGGGTCTTTTTCAGAAGGCAGCCACTATTTAAAGTGTGGATAACCTACAGTTTATGTTAGGTTAGATTAGATAAGCTTTACTCGCACGTTTTTTTTTTACCGAACAGAAATAATCACAAACTTTAAAAAATCGCCAAATAACCTAACCTAAACTGTGGCTTTTCCACAGTTTATATAGTTACCTTACTTAGGAATTAGCATTAATGTTAGCTAATACTTCAACTAGATAAAACCAGTATAGATGATTAAGCATAATTAATTTGGAACACCTGGATGCAATATATGAACAAATCCACGAAGTTGAAGGTTATAGACTTGTGTTTTAGGTTAGACAACCTCATCGAATGGTGTAGACAATCAAACATCTAGAGAACAGCCATGGTTACACATTTGCGTCGAAATCTTCAGTGGCAATAATTACATTACAATTGTACACTGTTCAATAATGTAATAATAATTGAGATTTGATTTTAACTTTCCAAATATTAGATAAAATTGTAATCACATACTAAATATTTAATGTGTAAAATTAAAAAATCAACTTATTATATTAAAAACGAGTTTAAAATATCCTGAAAGGGAACTATCGCGTTGTTTAGTTGACAAATTAATACTCACGGAACGACGACAAAATAGCCGATTAATTGGTGGTATCAACATCCAGATTTCACAACCTCCCTGTATAACCGCTGTATAACCGGTGATGGCAAACCGCATTTTACCTGCTTTGACTGGGATTCACTAGCCAATTTACAGATCAATTACACAAACAACTTGAGCCCAAATAATGGGAGCTACAAAAGCCCACGTAAAAATGAGCAAGCTAACAAAAATATATGTTTTAAACCCAGTTTCCACAGTATGAATTATTTTGTACGCTAAACCCGAACACATATCAGGTTTATAAAATACCCACCGGTTTCGCGCATTGCATCGTGGAAAAACAAACGTCAGAAATAACGTAAAATTTTGAAAACACTCAGGAAACTCTAGTGACAACTAATAACGGAATAGGCTATTTTTACAGAAGTACTTTTTAAGTTTTGCCTATATATAAATTTTCTAGGTCGGATTTTGGATTGTTGAACTTGTTGTGCTGGAGGTTAACTTGTCCCAAACGATATCTTAAAAAATTGTGATTTCATATACCTGAAGTCAAGTAGTCAAGTCAACGTTTTATACCTGAAAATGTTTATTGTCACGAAACAAGAATAAAATATGAAATAATCACTCGAAGAGTCAGACCAGAACATCCAGATTTGAAGGCTCACCCCAAAGAAACAAGGCTTTTAACCGCACTAGGCCTACTGAGCCAAATCGGAACATTTTTTAAACTTAAGCATCTTTTATGTCACACAAAAAATATTAAAGGAGATATTTAAAATAGTAGCACAATCGTGTCGTGGAGCTGCTCATTCCTATTCCAACAAACGAAAGACTACTATCTATATATTAATTTGGAACTGTTTTTCTTTGTGACAGCTATTTTGAGAGAACGGCTGGGCGTAGAAACTCGGTAGAGGTGTCTAAAGAAAGGTCCTGGTCTGTAGATGAGCCATCAAAAGAGAAACATGGAGAATTCCCTCGGGGCTCTGCCCCAGTGGCCTTTAAATTCCCATCCCATGTTATTCTTATGGAGGAAAACGAGGTTTTTGTCACAGCTAATTTGAGAGAACGGCTGGGCGTAGAAACTTGGTAGGGGTGTCTAAAGAAAGGTATTGGTCTGTAGGTGAGCCCTCAAAAGAGAAACGATGTAAATTTCCTTGGGGCTCTGCCCCAGAGGCCTTTAAAGTTCACTCTGCAATTTTGTTTACATTTCGACCATATGGATAATTTTACACTACTTTTAATGAACCAGCTGTTAATATTAAAATTGTATTCAAAGGTTAACTGAAACTGTCAAAATTAAATGTTTACATTATTATTTATGATTTTAAATGGATTCTCCACTGCATGGCAAGTTTTTTATAGTTTCAACAAAATTATGAATTTATGAGTAGGTCTCTGAAAATTTCTTCTGCTTTTTCTTTATATTCAGGTTTTACTATCAATACACTTTTCTTGGGTTCTGGGTAATACCCCCATTTTGACCCTTCAACACGTAAAGCGTTAAACCATTCTCTATTTCACCGAAACATGCAGAATCATCAGCGTACCAGTTTTGCTTCCAATTTAGGCTTTTTAGTTTTTTTACCAAAGGTAATATGCCAATTGCATACATTAGCATGCCTAAAGGGTCTCCCTGAGTGGTTCCTTCTTGACTAAGGATGATTTTATTGCTTCCTCTAAACATAATGGTTGCATAGCCTTGGTATGTATTGAATAGGAAACGAGCGCAACGAGGCCAAAGCACCCTAGCATTCCACAGAGTTAAAGGCCTGCTCAAGGCGTTGAACGCATTTGAAGCATCTACAAGTAAAATACAATTTTGGTTCTTTTCATTGAATAGGTCCGTCATAGCATGTATAGCACCTCCTATTCCAGCTTTCGTTCCGGCGCAGAGTTGGTCAGATCCACATATCTCTTGAACATCGTCACCTGTT